GCTGGGTAGAAATTTCTATAAAAATTTTTTGCTAATTTTTTTATGGGATTAGTGATGAATTTAGAGAAGTCATTGCTAATTTGAAACTTCTTATAATTTCTTCATGAGTAATCATAGAATTATAAACGTGGTAAGATTATAAGCTTAGATTATAAGGTAAGATTAAGTATTTCATTCAACTGCATTTATCAGATTATACAAAAAAAAATATCTTTTCGATTTAATTCTAATGCATGCAGAGTTCTATTAAGTCTTAAATTAGATTTCAATTTAAATTACGGTAGATTATATTCTGGATAAAATATATCATGCTAAATTATAGAGAAAGTGCTACAGATTTAGAGTGCTGCAGGTAATATGAAACACAATAGTTTTCTGAAAGCTCTATCAAATAGTGGAATTTCAGGACAGTTTCTAGTAGAAATAAAATATCCCATAACAAAGAAATTCCAAACTAAAAATCATAAAAAAAAGTCCCCTATGTAGGAAGATTATTTTTATATTTTCCTAGCAATCAAAATTTGGTAATAAAAAGTTTCCACTGCGATCAAAGATTTATGTTACAACCCCAAGAGTATTTCCAAAAACTAAAAATAATCACCCCGACTAACATCCCGGTGAGTGTTAATAGATCAATAGTTATAATAAAAACAAAAATTTCCAAGATCCATGTAAATAGCAGTAGTCTAAATGATGAAATAATCATTTAGACCAAGTATTTTAACATTTTCTTGATGTCCCAAAAACTCTAGAGAATGTTATCAAGCTACTTTGGTATGTCAATTGAATTAAAGTATCAAGTGTAAGATAAGGTCAACTCTGTAAATAATAGAATTACACTATCATCATCTTATTTAGATGAAAGTGATGAATAGGATGATGAACAATAGATGATGTCAGATATTGATTACGCATGTAATAGATGTTAACACAATGTGATTCTATACCACAAATATATCCGTAGATTAGAACCAAACCTATACAATGAATTCTGAGATAATTGTTACAAAAGAAGAACCGGAGGTCTCCCTGGATGATAAATATAACGTATCAGGAAAAGAGACATAATGTATAGAGAATCCAAGATATAAACAAGTGTATTATATTGTATCATGGTATAAAAGATATAATTGATGTGTTCAAAGAGTTGTTAATTTAACCATTTCTGATGTGTCAATGAGACAGAATGATTACCCAACTACTCATTTCTCATCTGATGTGCTCTGTTGCATATGGTGACATGAAACAGATACACATTAGATTACAAACATGCGGGATCGGATTGCACATCAGTACGTCTAGTTCATCAGTTAATGTTTACTTTAATGACGCAGTACAACCTAGAATACCAAAGCAATTATTCAAAATGATCAAACTTATGTCTTCAAGAAGAATGACATGTAGTTTGGAGCGACATTATTTAAATTAAAGTCAAGTAGATCAGGGAAGAAAGGTTCCATTTAAATTATACCATGTGTTTAGGAGCTTCATACAAACATACATGTAGATTTAAATTCCTTTATAGCTCTAGGAAAACTGGATGAGTGAATTAAAAGAGCAAATAAGACTTGCATGTGGGGCTAATTCGATTTTCAGATCTTTCCAAGAAACTAATGAGTACACGTACAGGATTATTAATAATTGATGAATATGCAGCTGTGGCAGTACCGAATGAAATGAAACTCAATGAAACTTGACAGATGCATACATAATATCATTATCTCTATGTATGCAAACAACGAATGAGTTTTTTAAAATTTTTAGATGCTGAAGGATCCAAAAAATAACTAATTTGATGATTCGAAATTAACATTATTCTATTTAATCTGTTTTTTGTTTGAACAATCAATTGGTTCTATTGTAAATAATACTCATGTTTAGATTTAACAATGAATAATATATTTTTGTGGGAATATTATTATTGATAAAACTTGTTCAACTTGTTAAACAGCATTGATAAATCTAACAAGCTCATTTATGAATTATCGCAAAACATATTTCCGTTAAATTTAATTGTATTATTAATTAATAACTTTTATAATAAAAATTTGATTATGTTTGTGATTATGGAATCCTTGAAAAAATACAGAAAAATAACATTAAATATACGGATTTACAGTGAAATTATTTTTTATAAAGTTCGAGGAAAAAATATCAATATTCTAATTATCTTTTGTCCCTCATTAGAAGAATAATAAGTAGGAATTTTTGATAAAGAGTTTTATGAGTCTTATAGTATTAGGCTTTAAAGTAGAAGAAAATTCTATAGAAATAATAAATATTTAAATACGTAATTTTCTAAACCATTTCAAACTATAAATATACCGATGGTATTTATAATAAAAATAGTCAAGGACACAGGCTTTTAGGCAATTGATTAATCAATTGATGCCACTAATTATTTAAGATTGAATTTAATTAAATATTTATATTAATAAATACCAATATTTTTACATCCATTTTTCTATTTTCAACATGAGAAAGCTTTTGATTACATCATGTTTTAAATGAATGAGATTGTTTCTATTAATAATTATACATTATTATCCATTATAGCACAATTTATTTCTATTAAAAGAGATTTTTAAAGAAACATCATCACATCAATGTTTGTTTAAAATATATTTCTCTAAAAGCTACGGCGTATCAACGACGTTTTGATAGAAAAATAAATCATGTTTTTTTTTTTAAATTTTCATTTTTATTTACGTTCGTCGCAGCATAAAAAGCAACGCTGGCTATAACAATATCTCTGTAGCTATTATATATAAAATATCCATCTTTAAACATTCGCGCTAAAAGATGTCAGTTGAGATCGACAGATATTCAATTTCAAAGATGACCGCTTGATATGAATGCGTGAATTGTGTTTTGGAGCAGACAAGTGCAAGACTCATTTACAACTCAACAATGTTGGTGTAACCAGTCAAGCATTAATATGAGAAGTACATCAATACGTAATATACTAGTGTGTGTAGCAGAGAAAAAAGCATGTAATTAATTCATGTATTTCATGTAGGATTTGCATCAGGCGGCTTAACTTCAGCTTAAACGTTGGGAAGTTAAGTGTCACGTGGATACAAATGTGAAACATAATCTGCCACAGACTTCATATGAAAAAAGTGTAGTAGTAAGAGAAGAGAGACTGGTAACGTATGAAATTATTCTCAATCATGATTATTACTAATAATCATCATAAATAACACTGTAAGTAAAAAATTCCAATAATCCTTCCATCTTTAATTACAATAATTTAACTTAATGGTCGTGGGTAACAAATATTTATCAAAATAACATTTTTATTGAGAATATAATTTTATTCCAATTTGTACTTATACATTAGTTGTAATATTATTTAACAATTATAATCAACGAAATAAGAATTATTGTAGTGAATAATCATAAAAATAGATTACTTTCAAGTTACAAGTAATTACTTATGTCTAATTAATTTTACTTATGTCTAGTTAACTTATGTCTAAATCATCATTGAAATACAATATATAGAGTTTACGTAACTAAGAATTATAACAAACATTGACATCACTTGAATCACTCTCAGATATAAGGTTTATTTACTCTTAGAATGTGATTAGCATCATTGAAATAATAATTAGAATAAACATTCGATTTACTATAATATCACAGATAGTTTAATAAAAATTATCAATTAATTTGTCTATTCTTAGCTAGTACACGATAATACGAATAACATACTTTATAACTCATATATTTATTAATTATGCCGCACATTAAAACATATTATTTTGTACTACTATTGTTATTAATAAAACTACTTAATAATAGTGCTACAGCTCCAGGAGCCACTGGACAAGCTACTGGGGTAATTCAAAGTATTTAATATTCATATTATAAAGAACTCGCACGAACTTTTGATCGATAAATATCTAAATTAGATTTAACTAGTCTGTACACAGCTAGTAACTTCCGCGTAGTCGTACTTCGAGATGAACAACTTGCTATCTTCTCAGTCCGAGCAATTCCACCAACATCAATTACATCCATTTGATCAGAAGGATTGTTATGAATATCATGTGAACTTATACTTATATCTGTAGAATTTGAACTTTTATGAACTTATCTTTGTAATGTAGGAAAAAATAATTGAGTACATTAAAACCTTGGGTAAAAAAAAAAAAGCTAATAATCTCTCTTCTTTGCTTGTGGGTTTGGGTAGCTTGAAGTTTAGCTGAACCATCTTCGGCAGACATTAGGGTACCACAAGTTTATGACGGATTATCCTTTTTTAACTACTACTGCCAAAGACACTTGTCAGGAGCAACAAATAATAATTTCTTATGTAGGAAAATAATTAATTCTGGCATACGACGTATTATTTTTCATTTGTATCAAAGAACTGTATTATGCATAAAATCATTTGATTAGAATGTTGACATGGTTGATTGTACGTTCATTCTAAAAAATTACTAGTTGATTCCCATACTTGGATTTACAATCCTGTTGATTTCTCATTTAATATAAAATAGTTAAGTTATTTTAGAACTAATAATAGGAAATGAAACTGTTTGTTTTTCTCAGTGTTCTTGCAAACTATCCGACAATTGAAGTAATAAAATGTGACAAGTTCATTAATAAATCTTGACGTGTATATTTGCTTATGATTATATAATTGGTTCATAATAATGTTGATTATTACCAATACGTAATAATACTTAATAATAATAATAATAATACAGATTGTAATAAAGTATAATTTAAACTCGGCTAACACTTAGTCCGGATAACATGCGTAAGGAACTGGACTAACAACAGTTAGCCATCATACTTTTTTGATATTTACAATAAAATTTATACTGTTGTTATAATTTTAATTAAAAATATATAAATATACAACTAAAAATAAGTTATATTTAATGTTTTTAGTTAAATAAGTGCAATTTAATTTAACAACAAAGATTAAAAGTTAGAAATTAATATGAAATTTTACCCTACTTCCTTATTTACGCATGCGCTTTGAAATTTGGGGGCGTGTCGACGATCAATTTTCCGAAGCGACAACTAGCGGTCAGAGAACATAAGTTTTAGGATTTACCGACACGTTAGCTGAAACTAAGTCCGGATTTTTAACCCAGGATTGAGCTTTTATACTTGTCTCTCTTCTCTGGTAGAAGTGATTAAGTGATTTTAATATCAAGTAATGCGAAAAATTGTATGCTTTTTGGAAATTGTGTTTTGAAAAAAAAAACATCCGGTAATAAACGGGAAATTTAATCTGGAAAATTCATTATGCAGACAAGTATGTTATATATTTTATTAGAAATTTGATAGCGGATTAGTTTTTATTGCAATTTTAATTGTTCTGAATTGATTTTAATCATTTCAAGTTTTCTTTAATTACGAACAGGCTATTTTTCTCATTTTTATGGAGTTTATGTCTAACTATTATTTTTATTTCCTTTATTTTTATGGACGAAATTTATTTATAATAATGAGCACATAAAGACGATAGATATAATAATATTAAATTCATAGACACGAAGAAATTGACAGGAAATTTCGATTAATGGTAATTCGGAAGAAGCACCGAAATAGATAAATGTGAAGATGTTTGTTTTTATTGCGTTTCGATAGGCTTAATAGATAGAAGTAAATTCATTGAGAAAAGTCTTTGAGGACCAATGATAAGGTCCTAAGTTTTATGGAGTTTTTTATTAAGATAAATGATAAAATTTGTAAATACGTATTTATGAAAACAGTAAAAAAAAAACTATGTGATAAAAAACTTTGATTTATAAATTTATTATTTATGAATAAAACATTGCAAATACTCATAAATATTTTATCATTTTTCATTGAGACGAAAGTAGCAACCACGTGACAAGAATGCGATAAATTTCATCAAAATCACAAAATTAAAAATATTTCAATGTAATAATCTTTTTTGTTTTGTTTATCTCAATTTTGAGACAACATTTATTTATCATTTACATTCAGACGTACATATTTATCAGCATATGATTATTCAGATGATTTTCTAACAATTATGACTTGATATGATGAATATATTTGTTGACTTAATTTATGTGAATTAATTTCAAAGTTAGATAATTTTAAAAGTGTCACTGGCGATTTTTCTATTATTTATCAAGAATTTGTATCTCAAGAGATAATGAAATCAGCCAAAGCATTTGGGAATGTTTAATCGTTTTTATACTTATTTACTCAAATTTAAATATGTATGTATATTTCATTCTAAATAAAAAGAAAAAAAAATGTCATAGATCGTCTGAGAATTTTAATTGAAGTTAAATTTGTCCTTATCAAGTTTTTCAAAGATATTATAATTCTAAAAAATTTTACGATAAATAAAAAATAGTACGATGATAAATCTCAATAAAGAATGTGTAGGTCGTCGAATTCATTTTTGTATGAAATGTGGTTTGTATTTCTATGGACAGATGATTGTATCAATTCTCAATTCTTATATCTCTTCCGTGTTCTATCTTTCTTTCATGTCAGTTTTTAATGATTGATTCGTGACGAACAAAATAATTAATAAAAATAATGTTCATTTCATCAAGTTGCTAACGATTTAAAAAAAACGTTGTTCATTGATTTCTCTTAATAATATTTTAAATTATACATACATGTATAATTTATAGTAATACATAGTATTACGATATAGTATTATACATACATTCATATAATATTATGAATGTATGTCGATTGGGTTCTCATAGAATTGAGCTACTATTTATTTTTACTTTTTTTGCAATATATTCATAACTCAAACCGACCGATAAAAATCTACGATACATTTCTTGTTATGATAGCAATTTTTTTGAACTATGTACTTTCACTATAATTGTTAAATATGATACATCGATTGAAGAACGTTAAATCAATGATTGTTCTCTTTTTTACCTCTTAAATACTAAAATGCACAGTCAATTTTTTCCAAAGCCATTAGAAAAAATTTCTGTATGAAAAACAATGCTGTCTATAATTAATATGTTAAATTATTCATGAATAATATTTTACGATTAACAGAATTATATTAAATTGCTTCTAACAATAACAGAACAAAAAAAAAATTGATGAACAAAGCTAAAAAATTATGCCAATCATTGTGATTCTCTAAAAAAATTTATATTAATTCATACTAAGATTATCAAATCAATTATGTCTAGAAAAAAAACCATCTCTTAATCAATTTTTTCAATATAAACATCAGAAAAAATATCGTTCCGTTGATAAAATAAATAAGCCTCTGTCTATAATTAATCATTATCAGAGAAACACATTTTCTTTCCAATCACACTACGATTCGATTTCCATTTCTTAATTGATTTAACACTTTTAACCGTAAGATATTTTATAGAATCCTTCATCACTTAACTTGTTATCAAAACTTGAGTTTAAGGTCATTCCCGAGTGACTATGATTTATGAGAAAGGATTATACACTACACATTATAACAATCAAGCAGCAATTAATAATCGTTAAAGCATCATAATCATAAATAATAACCATGCCCATGTAATTTACATAAGTATTTCCTACGTTTGTTATCTCACCTGAAAATAGTGGAACTGTTATGTCCATGCATTACATGTGTCGTTGATTCCTCAAAAGGTTCTCTAGGCCAAATAACATCGACATTCGTTGACATTTCGTTTCTTCAATTATGTGGTTTAATTCAAATAATTTAAAAATCTTCTGAGCAAATATTTAAAATTGTATTTGCACTTTGCTTATTCATTTTTCACTTGACTTTACAAAATATTCACTATGCACTTCAGTTTACTGAATGTTCGTACTATTTTTTAAAATTTATTATTCAGTTCTCTCTGAATGTGGTACATTTATTTTTTAATAAACAATACAGCACAGTATTGCAATTATTGTCGAGTTCATTATAATTATTCGTTGTTTTTCATGCACTGGCTACTATGTTTATTTTGACTATATTCTAGGTAGATTAAATTCAATACACTAATTTCGTTTATTTGAGCTTTTTTTTTTAATTTTATTTGTAATTATTTTTTTTATGAATGGATCATATTTTAAGTTAATTACTTATCATTTAGCAGATATTAAAAAAGATAAAACTTTTTTTTCACATGAAACTGGTTAGTTTCAGAACTTGATGCTGAAGATGAACAAACACCTTGTAAAATAAGTATACAGAGCTTTGGCACACGTTCAACATTCCGTCGACACTTAAATTTCTTAATACTATGCAAGTCTTTAATAATCAATCAATGTTTCTGAATTGACATACTTTTAAACCCTTCAACATATCTTGATCCAATATGATCAGTTCCCACGATGTAACAAAACATTTTCACTTCTTGCAGTTTTTATAAACAAAAAAAAATCAAAAAAGCAATTCGTTAAAAAATATATTCGCTGGCACATTACATAGAAAATTTAAAGTGAAAAAATTCAATGAATTTTTAATGTAAAAAAATAATGAAATAATAAATCTTATGAATTCTTACTCAATAAGAATTATCGAAATTTCTGTTTGATCTGAATGACATTTTTCACAGGACCAGCCTTGCATTGGGTTCGCCGTTTCACGCGGCACTGTGATCTCCGCATGCTAACTCAATCTATTTCGAGGGAAACTTTGACTACGCGCATGCGTTTTCCATCTCTTACCTCTCTCTAACATTCACATACAGACACCTTTCAGACAAGCATATTTTTTTGTTAGACAAAAAACTCATAAATAAATTAGAAGAAATTATAAAGATAGAAATTAACTTGCATGTCATTCAAGAATATGAATATACAAACTTTGATAATTTGAGGATACGAGCATTTGACAAGGAGGAAGCTTTTATTAATAATCAGCTGAAAAAGTAGATTAGATCAATTTAACTTAAAATGATCGATGAAGATAAACGATAAGGTGAGAATGTCTAGAAAATAAGTTAAATTAATAAATAAAATATAATTGGAATTGTATAACTTATGTCAAAAAATAAGTCTTTTACATGAAAGAATAGATATCCTTTTCATTTCATCATTATTTCACGAACTGGCAAATCATGAGGTACTGGTAAACGACGAAAAAAATTAGGTTCAATTGATATTAATTAACTTCCCAGTGAGAAGTTATAGTTGGAATCGTAATTATAAGATTAGGGCAATTTAATTCTTCCAAGAATCAATATTGGTGTCAAATTATGGAAGAAAATAGCACTGTAACTGGGGTTATTCAACCGTTTTGATTATCTTGTAGTGCACAAACTTTTTGGTCTCTCTGAGTGGACCAAAGATATATACGAAGTAGATTTTGAATCTATACTAGGAATCTTCCTCCAAAATCGGTTGGCAAAAATCGACAGAATCGTAAAACAAAACTGGTCAAATCAAATAAGCTTCGGTTTACGATAAATTTTAGTTCATGAATGTTTGACATAATTTCACACACAAAAGTTTGTTTAATACTGTTGAATTGAATTAATGAATATTTACTGCAGATTAAATGCAGATAAATTTAAAAAAAGAAAACGAATTCATTAATAATAACTGATAAGAAAAATGCATAAATATTTTCTAGTATTCTTTTCTGTAAATTCTGATGATTATAGTAGAAATTGGATTAACGTGTTAGAAGTGTATCCAATAAAATAAAATTTTTATAAGATCATGATTCTAGCATGAATATAATGACATTTGAAGATTGGAATATAAAAAAACGATCCCAATTAAGCTTATGTTCGTAATAAAAAAAACTTGATAAGGAAATATTATATAAAGCTAAAGATAGATGGATAAATAGCGATGCGATTGTCAAGATAGTGATTATTAACGTTAAATCAGTCAACTGAAAGTAAAAGAAAGCCAATTGACGTGAGGAATCGGAGATTGAAAATTAATCGTTGAAAGTCACTGAAAAATCAATCTGTACAAGTAATAAATTTTTCAAAAAATTTACATATAGTGTTGAATAATAACTAATGAAATTTGAATGAAATATGATTGAATAACTTTACATAATGAAATCAATAAGTGCTCAAATTTGATGTGGAGTAGCATTAGAAAACTTATCTTTACTTTAAACTCCAATTAGCATAATTTCTTAACGGAAGATTGAATGTGAAATTTAAACTTAATAAAATGTTACAGTGAAGTGTGAAACCATCTCTGCTAAGACATATGTTAAACGTCGATTTCCTATTCTTGACTGGATTCCAAAATACAAACCGTCATGGTTGCTGCAAGATACTTTGGCTGGTATTACTGTTGGACTAACGGCTATACCACAAGGTATCGCTTACGGGGTCGTCGCCGGATTGGGTCCCGAGGTAAAAGCACTACCATGATAAAATAACTTTCGACATAAAATCGATTCCTATATTTATCATCATTTTTTCGTCGTTCAAACATTTCCTGGGTAGACTTAAAACTTAAAGGAATCTACCCATTTTTGTTAATCTTGTTTTAGAGAATAATTCTTACAGTTATAAAAGAAGTTTTAATGATATGAGTTCTTTGATCAAACATTTATTTAAAATCAATTAAATTCCATTTGCATTTCTGTGGACAAAATATCAGAATTTTTTTCTTCTAATATCGCTTTTTTATATTTCTTAAAACACATTTTTAAATATATATATTTAAGATCTAATTTATTTTTGTTTTACTATAAGAAAACTTATAACTCATCTAAAACGTTTCAACGGATCATTAATAAAAAGCTACTTTTCTTTGTCTATTTTGGAGTGTTTAAAAATAAATCATTTTTAAATAATCAATTAAGAAAAACAGAAATAAACAATTTCTTATTAAATATTTTGATAGAAAATTTTAAATTACTATCGTCTCTAAATAGTATTTATAAAAACCCACAAATATTTCCTACGGAATACTTAATTACTTTCTTTATTCCTCTTCAAATCAATATATATTTATATTTTGAAACGATAAATTAAAAGAAAATTATTAAAATATTATACATTCTTAAATAATTCCAATCTACAAACTTTAAGATTTAATACTCCCTATAAAGTCATAAAAATTCATTAATATCATTTATTTTAATATTTCTAGTATGGTCTATATTCAGCATTTATGGGATGTTTTATCTACGTCATCTTTGGATCCTGCAAAAATATTACGATTGGTCCTACAGCTATTATGGCTTTAATAGTTCAACCCTTAGTGATGAATTATGGTGCGGATATAGCTGTACTAATTTGCTTTCTCAAAGGATGCATCATCGCTCTCTTTAGTATTTTCCATTTGGGTAAGACAGTCAATTTTCTTCAAGGCTATTTTTTCTCGCATCAATTACATTCTTAAGTTCCCCAAAAAATTCTTTTCAAGCAAATAAAATTTGTATAAAATGCCTAAATCAATCAATAATTTATGAGCTATTGTTTTTCTAAATTTTTCAAATAAGTCACGTAACAATAGTAATTCAATATTTTATTAATGTAATTTTATTTATCACACATTCATGTTCAACTAATTTTTCACTAGTTGGCTACTTGCACTGTATCATAAGTTCTTATGACATTGATTTATTTCTCACCACCAGTCTATCAAAAAAAACATTACTTTTTCGATCAATCGATGAATTTCTTCCATAGCTAAAGTTTTAGTCATTTATCTTTCGATTTGTCTTATAGGTTTTTTGCTTGATTTTATATCACTGCCTGTCATCACGGGTTTCACATCAGCAGCAGCAATCAACATCGCAGCCTCACAGTTTAAATCTCTTTTAGGTATACCTGGTAGAAGTGAAGACCTTATTCGTGCCCTTACATCTATTTTCAAAGACTATGATAAAATGAATGTATACGACATCATCCTTGGCACTAGTACCTTAATTGGCCTTGTAATTCTCAAGGTAAATACCTTTTATCAGACTTATATATTTTTATTTCATCACTGATCGATAGAATAGGAGTTGTATTAAGAAGTCACTCCGCTATCATTATAACAACACATTCTACAAATAGCTAGATTAATTCATTAGAAGTTTTGGTAATTTTATACTATCGTGGTTCCCTCGTTATTTGGCTCTAGAAAATCGAAAAATCAGCATTTTGGAGTGATTTTTTTTAAAATCTTTGTTTTTACGGCGGATTTATGAAAAAAATTATGGAAATAGAAAAAAATAAAAATTTATATTGATTTCAGGGCTTTAAATGTTCATGTAAATGCACTCATTCACGTTTTTTCGGTATTAAACACGAAGTTTTAATACCAAAATAAATGTTGTGAACATTCCGAATAACTAATGAGAATTTTCTCATTTGTCCGGTTTCATCACTTTCAAGATTTCCTCAAAACTGATCATGTAATAAAGCTTTCAAAAGACGATTATGAATGGGCAATAAAAATTAGAAGGTTTGTAGAAACTACTCATGTAAAAACTATGTTTATATCTAGCAATGTTTCGTTCAATGCTTTTTAAATTTGTAAATTGGCAAAATATCAATTGATGGGTACAAATACTATTATCCTAAAATATAAAATAACTTGTAAAAAGAAACCAGAGCCAGTTTCAAATAATTTTATATTTTGACTACTTTTGACATTTATGAATAATGTAAATAATTGTAAGACATTAGTTAAGGAATACTAATAAAAAGCACCTGTGTATCATATTAATCCAACATAATCGCTTCTACTAATACCATCTTATTAGTAATCAATTCTAATGTTAAATCCTCAATTAATTCTATTATGAATACAAGATTTTTTATTCTAAATATTAATAGTGAGCTAAATTATGTTCATAATTTCATATCATATACTCACTTCTAGTACGAAAGAATAATTAATATTCAATAGTTGCAATAATAAATTATGTTTAATGTAGAACGTCCGTGGAAAAAGGACAGGATCAACACGTGAAAAGATTGGATGGACAATAGGTCTCACGAGAAATGCACTCGCAGTAATTGTTGGTGCAGTTGCAGCATATATTTTCCATGTGTATAATATGGAACCATTTCGACTTACAGGTATGTAGTTTAAAATTTTTTATTCTAATTCTCATAAGTAAATTAAAATTTAATATTTCATATAAAAAGTAAGCAATTTAACTGGATTTCAGGTTCAATGGACGCAGGATTACCTCCACTATCGCTACCACCTTTTTCAACAAACTTCAATAATAACACGTATCATTTTCTAGAGATGACAAAAAATATGGGCTCTACGTTGTTCACTATTCCAATTATTTCAACAATCGAACACATCGCAATAGCTAAAGCTTTTGGTACTGAATTTATATAAGCTTTAGTTCAATAGTCATCCACTCAAACTTTGAATTGATATTAAAAGTGAATGCTCAAAAAAATTTATAATATTATCTATATAAAATCCCGGAGTTGTTTATTATAATTAAATAAATTATTTTGTTACTTTATAGCCATGGGGAAAACACTAGATGCCACTCAAGAAATGCTAGCTCTCGGTATGTGCAATATATTTGGTTCTTTCGTAAGATCGATGCCAGTTACAGGATCGTTCACGAGAACAGCAGTAAATTATGCTTCCGGTGTAAGAACAACTTTAGGAGGAATATTTACTGGCAAGTAAATCTTTAATTAAATGATAAAATTGTAACTTTTAGAAAAAATGATCAAAGATTTGCTAAAGGAAAAACTTGAAGTCCATAAATTTCATTTACGCAGAATTCAAAAGACAGTAGAAGACTTTTTGCCAAGATGCAAATTAACTTGGAGCTAAGATTCGTTGACAAGTTAACGGGTTACAGTGTCCGTTGAAAAGTAATTATTCTACGAAAATCAAATAGAGTAAAATTAAGGGAAGGGAATGAATATGTGCATTTTGATACAGGTTTATCTCCACTGAGGCTAGAATTAATTAATCATCTTTACAAGCTGATGTTCATTAAAACTATTAAATTTAGTTGGCAATAGTAAAACATTTTTCAACTTTCATTAGCAACACTTAATTTGAATAATTTATAAGTTTTATCTCCATAATTAGTCATAAAGTTATCACAACTTTCCATCGAATCGCATATGATTGTTTTTGAACTAAATATGGCAAAATTTTTGCTTATAAATATTTTGTAAACATTCAAATTATTGGTTTTTTTTTTAAATGCGGATCAAATCGTTTATCAGATAAAACTCAGACTGACAGACAGATTGCGTTCGTTTTAATCAAAAACAAAACAACGCTTCTGTACCATTGTAATTAAATCAATAATCTCCAGATTCATTAGATTAAATTTAATTAATCATAGAGCTTAATTTTGTTCTTTTATTAAATTAATATTGAAACGAAGCTTTAAAATTTATTTTAAACAATTTACATCATATGAAATAAATTGACAGGTGGCTTAGTGCTTTTAGCAACTGGATTTTTGTCAAATGCATTCAAATTTATTCCAAAAGCTACTCTTGCAGGAATAATTATTTGCGCCATGTACTATATGCTTGATTTTGAGACTTATCGTTTGCTCTGGCATGCTAAAAGTAAGCAATCAAAATTTATGTTAATTAAAGACTTTAGATTAGGTTATTATAATCATTTAAGAATTTAATCGAACATGTTTTGAATCTTTTTCAGAGATGGACTTCTTTACGATGATGATTACATTATTATCATGCGTTTTTTTAGGTCTAGAAATTGGTATTGGCATTGGAGTAGCTTTAAACCTAGCTATTCTGCTATATTTTGTAGCTAGACCTTCAGTACAAATCTCTGTAAATCAGGTGAGAAGAAGAATAGTCAGTAAAAATACTTTACCCCTAGGTCCAGGTCTAAATGATGTGATCAATCGTTTTGCTGATGTATTTTGTTCTCCCTAAAGCTTATATAAGGTAATCCAGTCACGAGTAGAACTTTGTTGCAAGGTCGAAAACTTGTAGTATGATCCGCTTATCTTTAGATGATCGAAAATATATGTATGTACTCAGTACATATCCTAAAGGATTCGATAAATCGTGTTTTACGGTCGATTAAATTTATATCGAACCTATATAGAGGATTGATAATAAACAATTGTCTCCCAATAATACATGTTTACAAATATTGGTATATTATAATGGCAACAATTTAATCTGACATATTGTGAACAATAATAAGTGAACAATTAATTGTAGATTCTTTTCAAGGAGATATTAAAAACTAAAAGCTTTTCAGATAATTTCTTCATACTTTTTTTCCTTTACTACTCTGGCTATAATGTATAAAACCATTATAAATTGATGTAAAGCTCTTTGAAATCGAATGTAAGTAGTACAGTTAACAATATATTCACATTAGGGGAGTTTTGAATCATTTATTTATTGGATTTTACCAAGAATTTATATTTATGAACTAAGATTAATAAAAAGAAAAGATATAAAAAGTTGAAGTTAGTTTTCTAGTAAAGTTATTAACGAATTATTGTCACTAATTATAAAGTATTAACAAGGTTTGTAATTATTTATGAAACTTATAGAACTTTGAATAAGTTTTTAAAAATTTTTATCCTATAAGAGAATTAAAATAATTCATGCGAATTTTTATCTATTGACACAATATGAGGTATTCAAGTGATTGAAGTATACTTATGATTGCAAATTTCTTTTTGGTCATTTGAAAGTATCCGTAGAAATTTTTTCCAACAATTTGTTCGAAAGTTATGACCATCTAAAGTATGTACATATTCTATAGAAACTTTAACTTTAGTAACGGATAATTAAGAAACAAAAATCGCATATTAATGAAGAAAAAACTAAATTTAAATAAAATGTAAACTTAGAGTTGATATTAATAAAAGACAATACGAATTCTAGAATCAAACGTTAAAATAGTTTATTGATTTTATACATGACTTATTTTGTGCCATGAAATATCGTCGGTTGCTCTCTCGATATAAATTTATTTACTCGATTCTGTTCATATATTAGTCCTCTTCTTTAAGATCGATGGCTGTACTTCAATTCACGTCACACCGGAAGAAGCAGTGACATTTCCAGCAGCAGAAAATCTTCGTGTAAATATAATGAGACTTACTGAAGAAAACCTTGGAAACGCGATACTTGACTGCAAGAATTTGAAGCGGATCGACGTTACTGTTGCAAAGGTATAATGTTTTTAATTCCTTTCAGTTTTATTCTTATTTACATTCTACTTTCTTTGATAATACATCCTACTTTTATTTCAAACAATGGTAGCATAAAAATCATTATATGAATATTAATATTCATGAAAATTAACAGAAGCTTTGAAATATTCTTCATACAGTCTCGATGAAAATGATTGAATGATTTTGAATTCTTATGATAATAATCAACCGTACTGGGTTCAGACTTATCACTGAATTACTTATGAGATTTACCAACATTCATAGTACGATCTCTCAAAGACGTATATTCAATTTTACTTATGAACACCCGAACAGATGATAAAAGACATTTGGAATAATAAGAATGAATTGGTAAAAAATCTAGTTACTTTTGACTGATGTTTTACATAATAAGAATTGTTTGATTCATTTATTTACTCTTATAGAAGTTTATATCAATTCTTTATTTAAATATCCAATACTTTAGATTGTGGTCAAGGTTGATCGTAATCACTTTAGAGATCTAAACTCAAGTTAAATTCTTAAGTTTGATAGAAAACTTTTCAGACGAGATGAATTTACTTTTGTGATTCTGCAAATTTATTAGCTCGATGATAATAGCGAGACTACACGAAGAAAGATACCAGATTTTTTCTTAAAATACGGCAGATATTTTAGATATCTAGAGAATTTATTATCTACGATTTTAAATAATCAAAAATTTGTTAAAAAAATTTTAAGTTCCTTGACACAATATTTATGTTAGAATTAACAGAATATTTTCGACAATGTCTCTTGATTTTTTTAATTTATTAAGTAAAAGATATTTATTTTCTGGCATCTACAATCTTAGATTATTTAAGAATAAATTTACATTTCTCTAGATCACGGGTTTTATCTAAAGAATAAAGGATGAAGGAAGATCTTAGTGACAGTGATAGACTACAATTTTTTTGGTTTTTGTGTGTTGCAGAATATTAAACTCCTATCTCATGATCTAAAACTACGTGGACAGCAACTGACATTTGTCAACTGTACGACAGAAGTTAATTCTGTGCTTAATACGTTTGCACCTGAATTATCAAACAGTTTTAAGGACTCACGAGAATCTAATTCCCCAGCGGATGAGCCGTAGATGAATAAACTTGACAGAGGTAATGAATTATTTTTCAACATTAAATTAAATAGTTCTTACAACTAGTGAGTTAATCATATTTTTATAACATAGTCATATTTTTATAAATAAAATTTTGAATAGTTTCTAATTTATCTCTAGAAGAAGTTCCTTTGGTCTTTTTAATCTTTTATTTTAATGAATAATAATTTTTAACCGATTTTAATATCAATAATAAACTTTAAAAAACATTAATATTAAATTTATGCTAATTATAGTAAAATTTGATTGCAACTCATTGAATGCTTTTGTTCAACATGCTGCTTTATACTTTCGTTATTTTCCAATATCCAGTAGCACTTCTTGCAGAACTCTTTCAAGTGAAACTTAACGTGAGTCGAAAGTGAAAATAAAGTTGCAAGTGATTCGTGACAGAAGTTACACTCAAAGTTTAAACTTCGTTGTACAGGAAGTTGTAAATTAGTTTCCTATTATTAATTATTTTACTGAATAAGTTATATAGACTCCATCGATTAATAACAATTTTACCAATAATTCCCCGTCGTAGTTTCGTAATTCATTATTAATTGATACTTGGTGAGGAAACTGATAAATAACATCGGGTTTCATGGACTTTTGCGATGTCTGTTCAGTTGAGGATTTATTTTCGACCAATTCCATAAATAAATATAATAATAATTAATAATTTCGAAAAATAATCAAAAAATTGTTTCAATTAGTTCATCTAGTCTCGATTTGGATAACTGACTTCTATTGAATCGAATTAAACTATTTTATTTTTTAGTATTTACTACAAAATTTTAGAAAATAAAAATCAAAACTAGAAGAACTAATTAATTTCACGGAAATGAAAAAGCAATCATCTTAACCTTATAAAAAGAAAGTTGTGTAGATTTAATATCGTAAATGAAATCCTTCTTCATCATTTTTTCGCTAATACTTCGATTGCACCGTAAATTATACTTTGTTAAATCCATTTGTGATCAAATTAAATAAATAATAGTATAACTTAATGAAGCATTGACAACGACTATGTTCAAATGTTTCTGCAATAGTAGTCGATATTGATAGGAAACATTAGAATTGATAGACCGTCATATATTCATATAAAAAGTATTTAATTCATCATTCTAAATTACATTAAAACCCTTAGAGTGAATATTTTATCGTATTTGTATTTATAATTAATGGCTTGTATTTATGATTTAGTAGCTAAAAACGTATGTATTAGTAATTTCAGTCCATAATTGAGTGAACGAACTTTTTCACCGTATAAATCATTGCACAGAAATTCCATTTAAGCAATTTCAGACAAAAAATTATGACATATTTTTTGTTATTTATCAACTAGAACAACCTGTATGTAAATGAAATATTGTGATTTTTAAATCTAAAAGTTGTCGATGTATATAAAAGCATTACATTCTATTTTAATTAATTTGTTTAATGTATATTATATTTACATATGTGTAATGCATACTATCAACAATTATTCACTAGATAGCTGCATCGATTCAAAAATAAATTATCAACCTTCTCATTCAGAAAATTACATGAAGGTGTGACTAGAAACTTGGGACACTTATTTTATAATAAAATGCCATGATTTTGATGTAAGAACGAACATGCACACATTCATAATTTTCATATTAGCTTACTAAATAGCTATTTTTCGCCACACATTATAAAATTACATATCGAAGTAATACAATTCGACGCATTTTACACGAAATAATCTAAATTATATTTTGATCATTTTTTAGATAATTGGTATTTTTGTAAGTTCAAAAGACCTAAAGAATATAAATTTTTTACAATTCATTTATACAACAATAATTGTGAATTTTTTTGTTTTAAAAAAATAATAATCATTTATCAAATACGTTGTGTATAAGACAGCTAAACAAACTATCAATCTATTTTTTTACGTCTAAAAGTTTCTTTTTTTATAATTATTTTTACAAGATAAGAGTATATATAAACTTATTATCAATAAAAAATGTCAACATTTTTGTTAACGAACAAAATAATGTGAAAATATCATTTCACTTATATTTAATCATTTTACGTATCTTGCAATAATAAAAAAATTAAAAATAATTGATTTAAATAACTGACATGAATAGTGTAACAAGTCATATAAATTAAATAATTTTCTGATTGTGAATAAATTTTATTAATATCATCCTGTAATCCTTACCTCTTGTTGAAAAAAATTTTTTTATTTATAATAAATGATAAAGTTGTAATTAGATCAATGAAAATACTTTATTAATTTAAAGGGTCAATGATTGCACCAGTTCACTAGGCATTAATTGAATTAAACTAAATATTGATGCTAGGAGTCTCGGGCTGAGCGTATAGAAGAATCTTGATGTTGCAGTAAAGGTGCTCTTTCTTGTCTCACTTCCGGTAAAGTAGCTAACTCTTGAACGGGACTTCGCTGCCATATACTTCTCGTTGCCATTTCCTGGTATCCTCGTCGTCTTATCTAAAATCCAAAACAGCTTATTAAAATTTATAGTGTCATTATTTTAATCTATTTTTATATTTTATAAGAAGATAAATTGTTTCAATTCCATCTTTTTTATACATTTTTCTTTTAATATCGTTTTGACATTGAATAATCTCATTTATTTTTCACTAAAATGCGCTTCTTAAAATCTAATAATAACTAATTAATTGTTGAAAAAATAGTTGATATTATTAGATAAGAGTGATGAAAAATTTATCTGTTAATTTTCATCCAATGATCTTCATTAATAATTTGAGAAATATGACGTCTCTTAAATATTTAATAAATGAATTGAACTCACTTGTCTATGATGAAGTTCATGCAGGTACAAAGTAGATAAAGACATATCAGCAGCAGTAAATTCGACAGGAATTGATAAATCCGGTGTCATTTCCTGACCTGATCCAAACACGGAAGCACCAAGAGATTGATTAGATATACCTTGTTGCAAGCCATACAGAAGACCTCTTTCATTATGTAGTGGTCCTTCAGCTTTACTCATTCCGCGTCTCACAACACTTGATAATCCATCAGAATGATTACCTGATGCTTCGACAGCTGAGGTGCTTGCTACAGTCGATTGATTTGCGAATATATTGCTCATACTCGGTACACTCAGGTGGTTTACGACTGTATTACGAATAATGTTGGATACAATATCGTTATACTGAAATGAAAGCACGGATTCGAATCAATATCGTGATATATTGTAATAAAAAAGTCATTAAATTATACTCAAGTTAAAATATTGAATTCATCTTATTAAGTACTTAAAATTTATTATAATGAATAGTTTTTTTATACTGATCGGCAGAATTATAAATTTAATTAGATAACTTACACCAGGTCCAAGACTTGAGAGACTATTCAGACTAGTCATCAAAGGATTCATTATATCTGTGGGAACAGTATCAACTTCTCTTCGTGCTCGTTCTCGTAAAGCAGTAACAAATGACTCTGCATGGCTCGGAGGTTTCCACTCTGGATTAGTTAATGTAAAGTGAATTAATGAGAGCTCTGTTTTTCCATCCTCTGCTTGAGTATACTGGTTAGATGCTGGCACTTGTAAGGTTTGTGGTCCATCATACAAATTATAAAAGCCATCAGTTCGATCTTCTTCAGGTGTAATAGGAAGAGTTTGCCACATTGGATGACCATGTTTTCTGACATCCATTTGGGCAAAGCTACAAACGTCGCCAACTCCAGTAACTTCGATAGTAAAGTTCCGATAAAAGTCAACAATATCTAGGGCTCGATTACGCATCCGGAAACATAAGATAAATGGAGTAAGAAGGGGCGATAATAATTCTTCGAGAAGATGAACAGCTCTATATTGAAAAAGCTGAGCTACTTGAGCTCGTGTAGATTGGGTATGAGCATGACCTTTCCAGCTGTCTGGTCGGTAGTGAGTGTGTGCCAAAACTGCAGTGAGGAGAGTTTCTGGACACCAAACTAGATTTTCGTCAGGAATAAAAGCACGAGCAACTGCCACGAGAGCTCCTAGTACAGTCATGGTAGTGAGAACGTGTTCTACTGTTAAAACATCTTCATCGTAGACTGTCAGTATCAGAAGTACAGCAAGAATACTACCACAAATAAATGTAACATTTTTTGCAATTACTGTCATCACGGGTGAAGTAAATATACTCATATATTTTGAAGCTGGACGATAGGCACGATTTAATCGAGCATTTAATTCATGATCTAGCTCATTAAAATGACGGAGATAAAGTCTGCCATAGAGAGACCACATTCGAGTTCCTAGAGTTCCTGGTTCTCGTTTGATAATCTAGAATAACAAATAGAAAAATAAATGAGAAAATCAAAAACCGTGATTTTATAAAATCAAATATTTGTAAAAATTAAATCATAACAGATTTATCATATATTTGGAAATAATAAATAACTACCTCTCCATAATTAAAAAATGAATACAAAATTTGCCACAATAATATCAAAGGGCAAAGGATAAAATTAGCTATTCCAACCCATAAAATATGTTTAGACAATATTCGCGCGAGCTCTTGTCGCTTATTTAACTTCTTATAATCCTCTTTCAGGTGCCAATTATTTTCAAAAGGCGACCAAGGTCCCCCTGTAAAGAATAATTAATCATCAATTAAGAGGAAATTTTTTGTTGTGACGAAAGGATATTTTTTTCCAAAATAACTTCAATGGGATGTAAATAAGTCCATTAAAAAGTTAACTGTCTTTGACTGCGTATATATTCTCAATTCTAGGTAAAACATAATTAGAATTAATTTTAACGAGATAAAAATCATGTACTTACAAAACAATAACAGCTCCATGTTATATTTTAATCCTCTTGTCATAAAAATAAATTCTCCAAAAATAGGGACTTTAAGTCTCACAGGTAGAAGCGATTTATTGATCATAGCAACCATATAATTTTTGAACCTCAATATTCTATGATAAATATCTAATTCAGTTAATTCTCTTTTATGTATACACATTTCTTGATCTTTTTGCACTTCTCTAACGCGTTTCTGGACTTCATGCCAAGTTAGATTGTCAAGGTCGCTATCTTCGATTTTCAATGCAGTATTAAAAAACATTTTTATGTCCCAAAACTGTGTTAAATGATATAAAACTTTTACTAGACGTAAAATCCAAAAAATTATGGCTATTAAAATACATATACGCGTTAATACACCCATGGATGCTAAAACTTCACTTCTTGGTAGGATTGCGTCGCTTATTGATACTTTATGCGATTCATTACCTATTACTTTATCTCTGTAAAAATAATAATAAAAATAAAAAAAACTAAATTCTTCACGAGAAATAATTAAAAAAAGTTTATATCGAAATATTTCATTTAAGAACCAAAAATTTTCGAATAATTTTACTTACTTGAATAGTACTGAATAGTCAACGCAATGAAAGAGGAAAGTTGAAAATGTGACGACGAAAATGAATTGACCTAGTTCAAGAACTTCTTGCAGCATCATACAGGCAAATCCATGCTTCTGATGGTAATGGTACATTCTTGTAAAGAAAGAATCTAAATCTTCTATATGATTCCATCTCGCTTTTCCTCCCTCTGGTACCACATGAATCATGACACCAGATTCATGTGGTGTTTCGTCGGGGTCATCACCTCCTCCATCTCCATCCTCTCCTGAATAAGGATCGAGCTGTTGGTAGCTGCCATCCAGTACTGTTGTCATCTGAAATTCAGTTAATCTTAATTCATTTTTATCCAATAATTTAAATGTCAATGACAATCTTTTAAATTGATGCACAATTTTTTATACTTTGTCAACATTTCATACATTTACATAAAAGTTTTTAATAACTTTGATAAATATCGAATTGAGTATCAAATAATAATTTGCAATTATGAAAACATTTTAATGATTTATATTTATACTAATTACAGATTCTTCATAGATCAATCCAAAAATATGGAAAAAATTGTTTTCATAATTTTTACTCATGCTCACAGAAATTAATGAGCTATTTTAAGAGTGAGCTGTCCATTTAAACTGATGATATTTAGTTCTCGATATAAATAAGCATTTTTTAAATATTTTCATCTTTGAAAATATTCATTTCTAGTGAGTTCTTTTAAAAACACTCCAAAGCATTTCTAATCAGATTAAAGTGATTGTCTGTTACATCGTTTCTAGACAAACAACCTAAATGAATGCTCCCATTCATATTTTGATCAATTTTTGCAAGTATAATTACGAGTATCCATAAATACTCCGAATGAATAAAAGATTTGATTCGAAAGTTTATGTTGAATGTTTTGGACAGTCCACTCTATCACTAAATAAAAAAAAAATAAATTGAAAACGAAAATATTCCCTTTCTCTTTTATTTATTACTCGACAATAATAAATTGGAGTTAGAGAAAGAATGAACCAAATGAAAAAAAAAATTCATGCACTGTAAAGTTAATATAAGAAAGACATGCAAAAGAGATGGCTGAAGAAATGAAATATGATAGAATAAAATGAATTACTGTTGTACTTGAAAATCTGGAGCCTTACCGTTCTTGCTCTGTGATTTGGCTCCCCGCAGGTTATAATAGTGTCACGTTTCATTCTTTCATTTCATTCAATATCATTAACTACCAGTCAACATTTGCACTCCCAAAACAAGAGTAAAATGCAGATCATTTGTGAGGTCGAGATGACAACGCGATGTCGAATGGCCTGAGAAATGATAATACTCTCAAGGAATTGACCATGATAATTTTTCAAAAAAATCTATTGCGAATTGATTACATGAAAGAAATATTAAAATACACTTATTACACGTGACATTTGTCTCTATGTATGACGCGAGTATTCTATTCTCGTTGTTCTACCTTGACTCATATTTACTGATACATAATATTTTTTTTTTGAATACTGTTTCTAGTTATTCTATTACATTACCATACCACTTATTATGTTATTCATTACATGATGTTTTTTGTTTCCATCATGTTATAGTTATCCATTATTCGCAATTTTTTTTTCACATATTTAAAAATTTTCCTTTGTGTTAACACATTGTGCCAACAAAGAAATGCCATCGGATGATATAGAGAAAAAAAGTGACTCGAATGTTTGGCAATACAGCTGATTTTCATAAACAAAGCCTATTGACCTACCTTCGTCATCAATTTTCGCTCCCTTTCCGTGAGTGACACGTTATTATTTTAATCTTCGGGTCATTCGAACACGATTACTCACATATTGAACACTGTACGTGAATTTAATTACTACAAATTTAGACATTTATTTACTAAAAGAATCGAAACTGTTGCGTGTTTTTCACCATTTTGACTTTTTTTTGTCTTTGTGCTGTACGTATGAACGACAGTAGCGCAAGTAGTAATAATTCTTGAAACTAAAATGCGCAAAATTTCACTGAATCGGTCAAATCGTCCAGAACATCCTGCTGGTAAAACAGAAGTCTCTAAAATGGCGGAAATGGCGCGCGTCAGTAATGTGTTGTTCCGTGAAAGCCGGCAATGAAAATTTTTAAACTATTTGTTCAGTATTATTCGTTCAGTAAAATAAAATTTTTAACGTGTTTCACACTTTACGATAATTCTTCTTACATGGTATGTATTGCTATTCATTTAATACGTAATTAAAACTATTCTTTTGATTCAATGATGCCAATAAGTTTTTTCTACTAACTAATGTGATTGAAATTTGGAGCAATTGTCTTGTTGAGCTTCAGTGTAATGCATTTATTCGGGAGTTATGTTTGAATAAAAAATGATATCTATTATTTGGTAATTTAAAGTAAAATTGATTTATTTAATAAGTACATGATAAAAATATTTACATTATTTTTAAAGGAAATTAGACGGATATGTATAATATTATAACACATTTGAATGTGATCTTCTTCATTCGCTTTTGTAGCAAAGGTAATTAATGGCTATTGTATTTAATAATATAAGTATGTAACAACTGCGGTCTTATTACATAAGGTATAAGATCTTTAAGATAATATTAAATACAATTAAAACAAAAGAAAATATAAACTAAGTATTTAAAAATAAGTACAAATTATTAACACTCATTACTATCATCACACAGTTTAAAGGATTGTTGATATTCTTGATTTTATTGGATACAACAAGAATGAAGCCCAGCAAATGACTATTTGAGTTTACAGCTGGTACTTTATCAAATAGTTTTAAGGAGAACAATTATTTGCTTTTTCCCGTCTGAATAGAGTCAAGTAATCCAATTCTAAGTTATAGTTTGATTTTAGAAATTGAATTACTGAAAAAGTTTTTTTTATGTTTAAGAATTTTTCTTTACATAATATTTTTCTTTTGTTAATTCGACCTATCAATGTAATAATTACAGACCTAAAAGATTTTTAACATCTAACAATCAATTCAATTAAAACCAGTAGCTTCAATTAAAAGAATTACGTGCAAAACAAAATAATACTAAGACCAATTAAAAGAATTTCTAACTTAGTAGATCGAATCTGTCATGATACATAATTTGACGTTTTTTTATGATAACAAAAGATAAAAAACTTAAGTATTTATTTATTAACGAATAATTCTAGTATTTTTCCATTTAAAAGTATAAATTTACAATATCGTATCATAAACTTTCGTTGAATAATTTCGATTATTTACTTTTCTAAAAAAAAATTTAATTCAAGTTTATCTAGTATCCAGTTTTTATCAATATAGTATCCGATCATTTATGAACCCATCGTATTTCGTACCTAAATGACACTTTCAAAAATCTAAGAAGTGCACTTATATGAAGACTAGCTTACTGCCTGATGATTTGTTTGTCAATTTACTACTTTTGATTTTAATTAAACTCGACATTAATTAATCAGCTAATTGCACTTACTGATAAAAATCTATTGCTTTCAATTAAAATCCAAAGGGTTCAATACAAAATACAATTTTACTCTCGATTAAAAATTTGACCAGGACGTCGAGGTGTCAACCTACGTCTTGGAGCCAAGAGTCCATTGAGACTTCGTGTTTCTTCATGCTTTGTGCTGGCTGCTGTACTAGTTTCAGGTAATACAGCTTCAGTAACTTCGCCAGCTTCGGCTGCTACTTCACTACCTGTAGTTATTGTTTCTTCAGAACTAGCTTCTACAACTGGAGCTTCAGTTGTCCGGCGACGTGGTAATAAAGGCGACCTTCGTGGTGTAGCGGATATAGGTGAACGAGTAGTAGTTTTTGGTTGAACTTGAAGACGATTTTTAGATCGTAATTTGTTCAAGGGATTGACAGTTGTGGGTTTAGTTGGTAGGCTGGTTTCTGCTGGAGCCTAAGAAAGAGAAATTTGTATATTTTAATTCTGTTTAAATTTCTTATGAATTTATGGATAAAAAATTAAGTAACTTTGTATTGAATGGTTAGAAATGGAATGCCGTCGAAGAAAATACATAATTATTTATTTTCTATTATGATTATGATTTTATTCAGAATTATTTTGAATCATTTTTTTCAACTTTCGATTAATAATATTTAGTTATGATCAATATTTTACATATTGATGTAGGCTCAATAATCTGAATGATCGGTTACTTCATAAAATGACATTTCAAAAGGCCACCCAGTGAAAGTAAGAATAAGATTTTTACGAATGTGTCACTATCTGACTATTAGAAATACTTCTTTGGTGAAAGATTGGTATCTTCATAAATGGAAAGTTGTTAGAATGACAGAGCACTTTTTTACCTCATGTGTTTCTTCTTCTGTTCCTTCTCCAGCTGGTTCATCTACACTTTCAGACACTTCTGGTGCTGCTGTGGTGGTTGATTGTCCAGGTCTTCTAATGTTAACTCGTGGACCTGGCCTGACAGGTCTATTTCCAATGCCAGGTAATCTTGGACGTAGAGCAGATTTAGGAGTAGAGGTTTCTTGTGTTCCATCTACTTGTGGTGCATCGGAAGATTCGTGGTTTTCTTCACCTGTTGTTGGTGCTGCTGTGGTTGGTCTACCACGACGTCGATTGATATTTAATTTATTAAATGATGGACGAGCTGAACCAGATGAACTTCCTGATGGTGATGATCCAGACGGTGATGCTGTTGTGGAAGTGAGAGTTTTAGGGATTCCTCTATACCGATTGCGGCTTCCTACTGCTGGTTTCTCAGCATTAACAGGGCTTGAACCTTCTTTTTGAACATCTTCTTCATGAACTGGCTGTTTTGCTCCAGGCCTTGATCGTTTAAATCCAGTATTTGTTGATCCTCCATATCGAGTGCGTGGTTTTTGTGTCGACTCTGTTGGAGATGCTTCAGTTGTGCTTGCACTTGAGCCGTTAGATTTAAATCTGAAATAAATTTTAGATTACTTTCAATTAAAAAATTATACATAGAAGAATACTAAATCATTAATGAAAATTAAACGAATATTACCTATTTCGAGGTGTTCCACCTAGACCTGGAAGTCCTGGTCTTCTGAATTTTCCTCTTCCAACCGGAGCTGGAGTCGTAGTTGTTGGAGCTTCAGTGGTAGTTGTGGTTGTAGTAGTGGTAGTAGTAGTTGTCGTAGTGGTGGTAGTTGTCGGAGCATCAGAAGAAGCTAAGGTCACAGGGTCAGTGGTAGGATCAGCATTTTCAGTCGTTGTAGATACATCAGTTGCAGTAGATTCATCTGTTACAGTTGTACTTTCACTAGAATCTTCAGTGTCAGTAACACCATCGATTGAATTACTTCTTCCTTGTTGAAGGAATGCATAGAGATCGAGTGCCACTTTATCCATTGCTGATTGATACGTTGTTGTTGGTATTTCATAAGTTGTAGATTCAGTTGGTGTCTCATATTGTCTTTCACTAACGAAACTTGGTCTTTCCTCGCGATGAGCTGGAATTGATGTAGCTTCTGCAGGTCTTGAAGAATATCGTCCACCATTATATTCAACATCAGCCTATTGAAAAAAAAATAATAAATTCATTTTTTGTTCATTGATAGGATTTCTTTCTTTCATTATCTATGCGATGTAAAACGTATTTACTCTGTAACAGAACATACAACTCTTTGATATTTGAACCATGAAAAAATATAATTGATGTTGATTAATTTGTTCTTTCAGTTCTTTAAACGAGTTAATTTACTTTTTTAATGTACCTCCTCTTCAAAGTAGCCAATAATTATTTTATTTTATGGTTTTGAGCGTAAAGTTATGAAACGATGTTCTATAATAATTTCTAACACGATGAACTTACGTAAAAAAAAATTATATTTTAAATGAAATTACTTAAATTTTTATCTTAAAAGCCATCAAAGCAAATCAAAATGTATTATTCAAGTACTTACTGCAGTTTCTGCAGGAAGTCTTCTATTAACATATCCAGAGTCATTGAGAGGTTCAACTACTGGAGCTGGTTCGAGAACCTTATGTTGCCCACGATTTCTTACAGGTCTATCTTCGAAATTTTCATTTGGGGTTACTCCTAAAAATCTAACAGGACCTTTAGGCAACGTTTGAGGGAATTCTGGTCCCTCTTGATAAGTTCTAAAGCTATTGGAATCAACGAGATCTAGATTAGGTCTAGGACGATTTCCACGGTTACGTGTAGGCTCAGTAGTTCCTGTGTTATGGTTAGATCTAGACCTGTTTGTAAAAGAAATAATCATAACAACTGTTTTTTTCTGTAATTTGTTGTAATACTTGTTAATTCTATTGAGATAAAAATAAATTGAATATGGAGAAATAAAAATACCTCGGTGGGAATCTTGTATTTATCGGCAATCTTTCTTCAGAAACTTCCTCACTCTCTCCCAGTTGTCTTCCTCTATTTCCATTTTTAGGAATGATTTCATTGCTAGCAGGTTCTACTGTTGATGATCGTTCTACGGAATTATATTTGCTCCTGCTACTACTTCCACGTCTTGATGATGGTGCTGATCTAATATCTTCTTGATTGTTATTTGAAGCACTGGCCTTCGATTCATCTTCTTCATCATAGTAATAATATACATATTCATATTCATAATCTTTTCCATTTGGACCTTTTTTTATCTATAAATCAAAGTTTATATTTTTCTTCAGACTACACTCAAGCTAATCACAATAAGTAGTAAAATATTATTTCAAAAATGGTGTATATAATTTATTCCTCGTTATCTTCCATGACTTTGTGAATAAAAAAATAATGAGAAACAAATTACCTGGATTCTAGAGTTAGAGCCTGCTGGCACTAAACTGACGTCTCCAAGATCATCAAAGTTTCGATTGGAATATGGTGACCAAGAATTTTTTGTGTCTTCACGAATAATATTTACAGGAACAAAATCATAAGAGCCTCGAGAATAAGAGCGATCAGTTGTTAGAATTGGTCTCATTGTTGTAGGATATTCATTGCTAGATGATGAATAGTCTTTGATTAATTGAAAAAATATACAAATAAGCAAGAAATAAGAAATATATTTTACCTCACTTGGACACCAGGAATGATTGAATCTCGTTCTTCATCAATTCTAGTTTTGAAGTTACCAAATTTTCTAATTCCATCTTCTTGAATCACTCCAGTATCACTAAAATTTTCCAGCTCGACACGAGCTTGTCTTTTTGTATTTGAGATGACACCACTAATGTCATCGGAGTAAATTGGATCTAAATTTTGATCAACATTACGGATATCTTGAATTTTTTTGTCTGATTTCTGAATTCTTTGTATAACATCTTTTGTTAATTTCGCTCGTTCTTCAGAGCTTTCTGGTTCATCTTCAGGAATTATTATACCTTCAGGGATTTTGTGGGATGTGACAAAATCTTAAAGAGGCCAAAATAGAGTAAAGTTTACTTTTTTTGTTTCGATAATTATCATGAGAAAGTTTCACATGCATTTTTTTTAATCGCTGACGCAATTAAAGTAAAAGTATTTTTTCTCCAATGTTTAAAATGAATTATGAATATAGAGTTCAGTGTAGAGATTAGTAAAAATTTATTAAAGTCTCAAATAAAATTAGTTGGAAAAAAAGTGTTTGATTTTTCGTATATAAAATGTAAAATTCAATTTGAAATATTACCTCGTGATCCAGTTCGTAATTTTTCATTTAATTCCTGAATTTTCTCATTTTTCTGATCAGGTATTGCTAAATCATACTCATCAGCTATTACCAGTGATATAGCGTAAAATATTCTGTAAAAAAAAAATGTAAAAATCTTTTAAATTTAATGATAAACAAGAATAGTAGTGAAACTTCATACAGAGTCTAAGCACGCTAATGATATGAGCTAAGAAGTTCAGTTCATGAAAGAAGAGCTTCCATTCTGTCCGCGATACCTCAATACCTCCAATTATCATTAGAATTCATAAAATCGCTTTCCCATTTTATGAAAATAACCTCGAATCTAATTATTTATTTTCTACATGATTTTCAACACGTCATTTCGAAATGTCTGGAAATAATACGAGGTTAGCATGCAAAAAATTGAGGAAGGAATGCAGGTGAAAAAACCCAGAAGAAAAATCCATCAAGATCATTATAATTGGTAGAAGACGGGTGGCGAGGTCAAATCACCACCATGGGGAGAATTTACGACCTTACTCTTTTTCGGCCAAGGCTACCAAACACACTTCATTTTCTGAAGTTTTTAACATAATTATTTCCAATCATATTTTTTATCACCAGTTTTTCATTTTTTTTCTTGCTAACCATTTATTTATTAGTGAAACTCATGGTTCCAATGTGACAATTATTTTCTTTTTAATCGACATCTGTCAACTTCTTTCGTGACAAGCGGAAGAAATTATTCACACTCCTCTTTTAAATCACGGTTCGACGCAGCAAAGATCACGAAACGATTTTGGTTACTCTCAAGCCTTTATATACTTTCGCTTTTAAAAATGTTTTCACTTTTTAATTCTTTTCTCCGAAGGGTCTTCTAAAAATAAAAATAAAAAAAAACTTATCGTTTTTGTAGAAAATAAATTTTTTATATCTTAGAAGTGAACAAACATTTCCTACTTTTTCTATTGTTGAAATAAAAATTCAAAAAGTAGATCGATAGAAAAATTGAATGACTTAGCTTAACTTCATTGAAATTTCTCATCATGTATGTCACTAGGTTTCTAGATATAGCAAAAGATAGTCTGGATAGTTATCACCTTTTCTCTCGATAATTTGAATTTTTTTAATTCAACTAATATAAGTAATTGCACTATATCTAGTAGATTAAAAGAATTATTAAGCATTTTTTAGTGTGTTAGATGAGTTATCTGTGACTTTCGACTGAAAGTCATGGTTCATATCAATATAGTGATTTCATATATAACTAAAAATGCATACTGTGAATTTACAGCGAAACCATATGGAGAAAGCGGTCTTTCGCGAGAATTACTTATGCGTATACTTGTATATATTTCGTGTGGGCATAGCCCAACAGTCCAGACGACGGTTTATCTTATGTAAGTTCTAGATAATACCACAAAAGCCTCGAGCTAAGCCACGAATTTATTATATTGCATCTTTTTGCATAAACACGTGATAAAAATTTTTCAATCATTGCAGAAATTTTTTACATCGAATTTCTTCATCTAGATATCGATTATCAATTGATGTAATTCTCAATTGACTTAAACTATTTGGTAAGTAGTCATAAATTCATGGTAGATTTAACAACAGGTAAAAAATTGAATGAAAATTCTAAAGTAAGAAACGATATATTTACATAAATCTTTATTCTGTATCTTAGGAGCTTTGATAGTTAGATTTGGTAAAAACGAAGAATGACTTGAACAATTATAAGCCGTAGGCGATGAGCGAGTGACGTCAGTGAAATTGAAAGGGAAAGGTAAAACCGTTAGATAATCGTTAAAATACTCCATGTTTACATTAACATATATTTTTATAATCAAAGATAAAAGGTGAAAAGACTGTATTGAGCTCAATGGTAACTTAATGGTTGTTCTTAGTAAGAAAGTTGGACAGATCTTGTCAGATAAATTAATAAATTATTCTATGATGACCTTGGACTGGTAATACACGGTAGTAGATATATATTCACGCATGATCAAGTAAGGAAATGGTCACACATATGATATCAAACTCGATTTTATTATGGGTTGATTTTCTTCCAAAAATGTTGACATTCTGATACCGATTTTTGATCACATTAAATAAATTTACATTTCATTGACTTTTGAATCCGGATTATATCCCTTTCACAATCCTAATTTATTATAATAAATATTAACAGGTATTTTATTTCACTATTATATAAAAAAATTTATTCATTAAATTACACTATTGCAAAATTTATTATGCTTTTTTCTATGTTAATTTTAATTATTGTTAATTAATGAGTTAAATAATATTATACAGAGTTAGTATATTTTATTTATTGCATTTTAGCAAACTTCCTGAATAATTATTTCCAAATTATTCCAGTGTGGTGATTTTTTTTTACATCACATTCTTTTTTAAATTATGTATTTATGAATACGCTTTCTTTTGAAGAGGGCCATTAGATAAGGTTAAAAAAATTATTGATGAAAATAAAAAAATAAAATTATGGTAGAGATAAAATTAAAACAATCTGTTGTGATAAATTAGGCCATAAGATTCTTAGTTCGCTTGCAATTGGCGAAAGTATGAGTACCAAATGGGTGAAACATATAAGTGGTTCGAGTTGCCGCTCCAGGTGCTAGAGGAGTGGTATTAGGGAGCGGTGATGGTGATTAAGAGAAGACGAGTAGAGCGAAGGAGAAAGGTACCTGGACATGCAATGCGAAAGGAAAAAGGAAGAGCATACGGTAGTTTTGAAGAACAAACTCTGAGAAGATTTTTTTTTTCATTCCACACAATCATTATTAACTTTAACAAACTCTTCGGTTTCATTAACTTTCGTAATGATTCCTAATTATAAAAAGAAAAACAACTAACTTCAGTAGTAATGAATTTTTACTCACAAAAATCCAGTCTTCAGCCACATATCGGCACTGCACTTCCTCTACTTTAAATTCTTCTCACCCTCTTCTTCTTCTTCTCTTCCGTAAAATTTTTCTGAAGGTTTATAAATAGGTCATGAATGCTTGAAAACACTTAAAAAACCTTTTCTCTATAAAATTACAATAAATAACTAACCACTTGTCACAATAAGTTCATGATCATTCACAAGATATTATGAGAACTCTAGCATTGATATCTTAATAACCGGATAAAACTCAGTTTCAATTCTTGCCGGGTGTACGAGTTGTTTCTCTGACCTGATCACGATCTAGATGATCAGAAGACTAAGTAATAGTAAAAAAGTAAAAGTAAGAGGCAGCCGAAGGACGTGGTGAGGGTATGAGAACGCCGGCGAAGGCAGACCTCTACTTATACACCACCCACCATGACCACCAAGGCAGCACCCCACCAATATGTGAAAAGTGGTTGTCCACAGCTATTCGATTATGAGTGAAGCATATCCAGGGAACCTGAAAACCATCATCGTGTAAAAACACTTGAATTATCAAGAAATCGTTATGACAATTAACTTTTAGGAAGTTTGGGCGACTCAATTCTCTTTCTACATGTGAATATCATTATATTAGCTTAGTTGCAGAATATTATTTTATGGAGATACTTTAAATGAGCTTTATGGGAAAAATTGGCGATTCAGCTCTGAAGGACATGTGAACCTTCAATTCGTGCCCGAGGAGTAACATTGACCTGACTTTTCTTCTACCACAGAGATTTACAACTTAATTGATAGTTAATGACTACTTTTTTTTTTATTTTTTCTGGAGATATAATGACTTCTATTACAGAACATTCATTCAAGAAATTGGGAAGGTCCAAATATTCAATTACTTTCTAATACTCTGATTTGATTAAATATATTTGTAATTCCAATAAGCTCCAGAAAGCTTTTTATTTTTCAAAACTATCGAATCTTTTAAATTACAAATAATAAGTAGTTAGTTTATCTTCTCTTTATTACAATTAATTGATGATAAAAAAGTGTGTCATTATGGTACATAAATTTTTATTTCAGGCTTGCCTGCAAAATAAATATTTTTTTATTAAAATAAAAAATTTTTTATCGATATTTTATTGATTTATATCATTCATCAATTATCTAGTCTGAATAATAATAATGGATCAAGGAAAAAAATTGCCTAGGTTTAATAAATATTAGCAAGCTTAAAATTTGACTTTAAATAGAAAATGAATGAATCGTAAATAGATTATTGAAATTTATATCATTGTTTGAAGCGTGAAATGGCCTGATATCACTTAAAAAGATATTTTTGATCTTCAATGGAAACCAGTTTCGTTTCCAGGATCCAAGATAACCAGACCAGTTTGTCTGCAACTGACCTTGCAAGGTTTTCGTATGACTTTTAAAATATAAAGACATGGAGTCCATCTGAAATTCTCATTAATTATCTTAGAAACTTATAATCTTGACAAAAGAATCTCCAAAGAAATTTTGTAGAGCTTATCATTGGTATAAGAATCATAAATATCCCATTTTTAAAAATTATTATTCATTGAAAAATTTATTTCAAGCTACTGATGATCTGAAAAATCAGTGGCTGATGTAACCATATCATTTATCATTTCTTGAAAGTGATTAAGCATACAAAGAAGCTAATTCTTCTTTTTTGCATTCAAACCTTATTTAATACTATTATGAAATGAATAGAATATTTTCGAAATTTCCATGAAAAGTTAATCACTCATGTTATTGCAACAACCTTCATATTCTAGTATAATTTCTTTTTCATAACTTTACCTTATTTTCCAATCTCCAGCCAAAATTAATAATGTATTACTAAATTGTGGCAGAGAACAATGCATACTTTGCTGACATAACTAAAATCTATTTCCCACTCGCAATTATCACGTGAACATGTCAGGCGTTGATTTTGGAGAAGTTTATTATCATGATCATACATAACAACCCACGTTTTTTTCATTTCACTCATATGTGACTACGTAGAATTGATGATTTTCTTTTCAATATTCAAGGAGTGTCTCTATATCCGCTGCAGCTGAGCTTTTGTGTCGGTTTGGAAGCTAAATATGGATGGCCATTGACTGTCCTTATGAGTCAGGTGCATCAGTTAAGAAAAGTAACAATTGTTCAATGACCCCTAGAATAACAATGTAATTGTTAATTTATTTCTGCTATTAATCTTCTCCAACACCATTACCGTTAATACTGAATACCAGTTAGATATTTTAATCTTATTGTTAATATTATTATTGCTCTCTGATGTGAATTATTCTTCGACTAGACAGGACAAGGCATTTAATAGCCTCAGTGTGATAGATCACTATTGATAAAAGTAATTGATTGTTGCTTCTGTTTATCTCGGAGGCAAACTTCTCCACTGGGTGATTGTGGTGTTGGAATGTAGTTTGGAGAGACAAGTCATTACATACACTGACGTTTCTTCAATACTACCCGGATGTAATTCAAAAGTTATGTGTATAATAATAGTTTACAAGATAAGTTCTATAATACTCTAAAGTTGAAAGCTTTATTAGTATACCATAATTCAGAAACCCAGTAGTTCGTCTCTTTCATTAAATGTCAATTCATCGTTGTGTTCTGATATCTATAATTATTTATTGGTTATAATTATTGACATTATTGGATTTCTCCTGTACAAAAATTGGCTATGTTGTTAATTTTCATATTTAATGTTGTGTCAGAACATATCAATTAAAACTTTAGTTCAGTAATAAATAAATAGATTGTTTCTGATGAAACGAGTCCTATTACAGCTGTAATGGAAATTTTTCCGTTGATAATTAACATAATTTTAAAATTATTTGAAGAAGATTCTGCATAATTGAGAAAAATTTAGATTATTCGTTTTAAACTGTTTTAGACCTAATTTTAAGTTATAATAAGATTTTATTTTTCGACTCGGGAAATAAGCAATCAATGATAAAAATCTGCAAGTTTGTATGATGGGAGAATTTTCATTTTATCTAAATTGAAATTCAGTGTTAAAACTAACAAACATGATGTGTAGAATATGAAATAATTACTAATAAGACTGGAAAATATGGAGATAAGAGGATTCATAAATGTATTTATCTTCAGTAAAAATGGAAATGAAACGTTGGTTGTATCAGACAGTGGACCTTGGTTGCACTTTCGCGGAGGACACGGACTCGCACGTGGAATCCCAATGACTGGGACTCGATACCCTTGCTTACCTCTGGTTTTTTGTACTTTCAAAAACACTGGGCACGTATGCGGGACTTCTTCAGCACATGGTGAAACGTTTATTTCTTTTTTAGTACCTTACTGAAAACGAAGCAAACATACGAATTTAAATGATAGAATTAATAGAATCTATGACAGAAAAAAGAAATCGATACAAAGTTATTTCCTGTAGATAGTGTAAACTATGTAATATGGATAAGGAAAATAACTTTAAATTCTTTTTTTCTCTTCCTCTTTCTTACATTTGTTATCATCAGTGTGTCAGATCACACACGAGAGTAAATTAAAATTTGACTTTCTCCGTTTTCCTATACTCGAGTCTTCCTTTTGAGCTTCCTCAAGACATTTGCAAATAAATTGACTAGATAAAAGCCTCTTCGAAGAATCTTAATACAAAATTTCTATTAATTCACGTCTACGATTTAAGTTCCTGTGATTATTATTAATTACATTGGAATTTAGAGCAGGCTACTAAGGTCTAAAGATCACCTACTGTCAGTGAGAGTTGATAGACTTGTCTGATCTTAGATGTGATGGAGCTGAAGAAATTATTTATTGAATACAACTTGATCAGGCATAGAAAGAAATTTTACATTGTCCAATCAGGCGCCGTATCTGGCGTCACCTTAGCACGTGCAGACTCGATTTTTTTGCTCTTATATCTGCATATACTTCGCTTTCTCCACGGAATGTTCGAACTTTTGGAATATTTTTGAATAATACAACAGATGTAACATGAAATTTTTGTACTCAACCATCCAAAGTAATACTATTGAGAAAACAGACGACCTTGACATTTACATGCGAAATAACTAGAAACTATTATTTCGCAGTCAATGATGGATTACATTCAACAATAATTGAAATAATTGTTATAATCACACAAGAGTGAAAGGAACGAGATTTCTTCATTTTGGGAAATCCTTTCTTAGTCATGGTCACCATTAATTGAAGGAATTCTGAAGATAATCATATTTACATAAAAAATCAAATTAGTTATATAATATAAAATTAGCGAAAAAAATTATTGCATCATTTTGATAATATTAAGAAGTTTCTTAAAATCATAAAAATAATAAATGATTGTTATTTATTGATTGATATTAAATATAGTGCACAATTGATTGCTTAGTAATTTATTTGAGAAAAATTAGACAAATTAACAAATAGTTCCGGCTCGGACAAAACCGGATATTAACTTGACCCACTTAAAACACGTGAACGTGTTGCCATTCCTCCAGGCTATGGAGATAGTAACCTTCACATTGAACATCTTTTTCAAAGTATTGCGACATTTTCAAAATTAATTACATTTACACAATCTTAATTCACCAATATGATTTCTATGAATATAAAAGCACTTAATAATAATTCATCTGGTCTAAAAACTATCTCCAAGTTCCTGGATAAAAAAGAAAAGTTAATAAAATGATATAAGTAGGTGTTTATCACTTTGAATCAAGTTTATGTGAAAACTAGGTCGTTATCTATTCTGAAATGATAAATCAGAAAGTGAATAAAGGTTATTTTCCAACAACTTGATATGTATTATGGATTATGGAGATGTTTTCTCGCGATCGGTATTTCTTGACGCGTCTGCAAGGTATTGATTCTTATATTGGGTTGTTGGTGACAAACACAAACATCATGCATTCGTTCATATACATATGCGTGTATCAGGGAAAGCGAAATAAGGATCTCCGCCCCGGAGAAAGTCCTGGGCTTCTCTGCGACGTGCTATACATTTTATTTCATTTACAATCACCTTTTCTGGCATTAGCTTCGATCGATATTTTTTATATTTGTTTCAAAATCCAGCTGATTTTTTTGTTTTCTTAAATGTTTTTCTAACATTTGTCTTTCAAAATTTATTTGTCCCTCCAAACACTCATTTCTCTACTTTTTTTTTTATTTTTGGAAAAAATGAATTTTAATAATTTTTTGTGATAAATCTTTAATTTTGTTATTGTAATTATATAAACATCTATTCGTTGCTTTGAATGGTTGTTAAATGGACTGGAAATTTGTAGGCTGAAGAAAGTTATTAATATAAACTATAAATGAACTATATTTATGTTAATTCATGTTTAAATGAAAATAAAATCGTTCACTTTGAATATAATAGTATTATTGATTTATGATTAAAAATAATTTCACATTGAGATTTTATGTGATTAATTTAATCCTGTGAAAGGAGGATACAATTGAAAGAGCGATCTAGACCAAAGGAATGACAAGGTACATGCACGATGTTGTAGTTGGTGTAGCATCAAGTGAAATAATAGCCCCGTAATCTAGATCTCAACCGTGTACTCTACATTTTCATAATTATTTCCTTCTTTCGCAACGTTTTCGCTTACTAAATAAATTCCTGGTCATCATTGTGTGAGATGATTGTTAAATATAAACATAGAAATTATTTTAATAAATTATTAAAATAATAAAAAAAAGCTTGTTTTTTGTTCAATATTATAAAAGATGTTTCTGTGTCATTTTCGTGACGATGGAAGCAACGAGAATGCCTAACGCTGACATTAGTAAAAGGTCAGAGAAACTTGTGCGACGTTTCTTCTCGTACTATCACGAAGTAACTTGTATCAAAGATACTTGATGTCTTTTGCAGACAACATCGCAGATTAAGTTATGCAATCAAAGATGCAATTCACTGGCGATATTCAATGTAATGCTCAATACTTGTAACTATTTGTGACCTTACCACTTGTGGCATTTTCGACTTATTTATAATTACGATTGAGATTTATATATTTGTCCCAATATACAACAACAGATTTTTTTTCCAGATATTACTGTATATTTTAATTACATTCAAATGTTTTTTTTTTAATTTATTTATCAAAATTTAAATAATAACAGTAAACTAGAAATATTCAATTTAAAAATAGAATACAATTACCTTTTGAATTATTGATAGGATCAGAGTTTAAAAAAAATCATCAAACGGATAAATTGTAATAATGAATTGGTTTTTTAAAATTATATTTATGTATTAGAATATAGTTCTATTCTTAGTGTAGTTAATAATTAATTAAGTACTTTGATAAACAGAAAAACCGTTACATTAAGATGCATATGTAACGGAGCATTTCCTGCAAGAATGTAGTCGCCAAGGATGACCAGATAGATGTATAAGATTTTCATTTGAAGAATTGATAATGCATAAACCTAAAGTTTAATCATTTTTTTTAACAATTAATTACTTCATTTTATATAGGCAAAAATTATTTATTTCTTTACAAGAAATCAACATTATAAAAAGTATTACTATTTTTAATTACATAAATACAGATCTAATCGTGCTCACAGGTTCAGGGTTATTATTCTTTAGAAAAAAACTTATTAAAATTTTAAAATACTTTTTTGTCACTAATTTATCTTCCTCTTAAATTTAATTCATAATTAAAAAATATTTCTCTTCATATATTCAATTACTTTTGGAATCAAATTTATATGATCACATCATATCTTTTTCTGTTATCCAAAAGAAGAAGACTCCTTGTGTGAGTGCAAAATTTCTTGCTGATTCCTCAAGGCCATCCGGGTTGAATATTCTCACTTTCAAAAACTTGTGGCACTCTCTTTTGACTTGGGCTTGTCGAATTCTTCACATTTTTCGTTCTTGTTATTACATTGGAAACAACTTTGATAAAATTTTTTTTTAGCATATTTAATTTTTTCTATTTTCATTCAACTTTTTTTAAAAATTGCTTCAACTTTACATATATATATATATATATATACATATCACATGTGATTTATGATAATACCATCAACAATCTTGATTGTAAGTCAACCACCTCTCACTGTGACCTTCTGTTTAAACCCGAAGAAGGTCATTTAGCGTATAAAAGGTATAATGCCGTTAAAAAACAGATCACGACTCACAGGCATATGTTAGAATAGTTTGTTACAACACATGACATGTCTAAAAAAGCAAAACGATTAACAATATATGCTGGAGACTTTGGAAAGTAATGTAAATTGTGAAATTCGATCATTTAACTTGACCTGACCTATTCATTGTTCACAATCGCTTGCAAAATTAGCTCTGAAGATTCTTATTCTCATGATCTTTCATTCTAATTTATGTTGTTATCACGATCAAATTACTATGTGGCCTTTTACTTGGTTCTTTTAAAAAAAAAATCTATCAATAAAGATGCATCTCATGGTAACAACTATTTTCATTGTCTCCCACGACTAAAATATCACCAAGTCATATTTAAATTAGTAAACAATAATGAATGAGTAGTTTAAATGATGTTGAAATATCAGTAGGTTGATTGGAATTTTATTATTTATTTTTCTACGAAATATATTCAAGTCTCATGTAAAAATATTAACTGATGGAAAGTTCTTAGGAATTTCTTTTTTTGAATATGCAATGACTCTTCTGTGAAATAAATTTTTTTTTATTACTAATCAACATTTACACAGTATAAATCATAGTCATCAGACATCAATCTATTTACATTTTTTCATGTCCCACTAAATTGATGGGTAGTTGTATGCATTTTTCCTTAGTACTTTGGAAAATTCAGAAATATTTATCACATTGAGTTTTCTTGTGAAAGGACAAGAAAATGTTCAATCAACTTGTTAATTATATAAAGAAATATTTCTAAAGTATTTCATCAATTGATAAAAAAATTACTTATAAAAGTTTTCAAAATCTTGATAAGTTAGAATTAGTTATTTTTTTCTTGGCTTTCATCAAAATTTTTTTAATAAAAATTATCTTCATCTTTTGGTAATTAACCTCTGCGGAAAGGCTTGGCCTTTACTTGAATCTCATCTTGTTGACTTTCTTCTACTTCTTCTTGAACTTTTCCTCTACTGTTACCACCAAATCTGCCACGAGTTGCTGATTTTACTGATGAATCATTTGTTGTAGTACTTTTACTACGTCCTCCCAATGTTCTATTTATAGAAAAAAAAATTTTCATTGAAAAAATATAGCTCGTGTTCATCATTTTTATAAGGTAACAAAATTATTCCTTACTTGGATTTAGAAGTGGTAGATTCAGATGGTGAATGCGTTGTGTGTTCTTTAGTGAAGCTTCCCACTTGAGCTCGACGTCTCTTCAAAGCAGCTAAAAGATCTTCATTAGATCTGTGAAATACAAATAAAAGTTATTTACATTTCTTATATACATAATCAATATTTAAAGGCTTTAGAATACCTGAATGGCCTAACTCCTCCTGCTGTTCTCAGTTTCTTTGATGCTTCCGTTGTGGTAGTCTGTGGTTCTTCTTGATCAGGATTCTCATCAACAAACTCCTCTCCATTCTCTCCCTCTTCATCAACCACTGGTTCAACTTGTTTAGGTGTTGTTGAAGTTGGCTACATCCAAAGCAATTTTATTTTAAAACTTAACGATAATTATTTTGTCTTCACTCAATTTATTCAACATTTTTGTTTCAACTCTTCTTCATAAATAGTTTATTTCAATTCTCTATCAAAAATCAATAAAACTTACTGATGCAGATTTCCGACCACCAACGGGGGCTCTTCCTCTAGCAGACAATAGACTTCCTAATCTGCTAGCGGGTTTAGCAGCAGCTGGTGTTACTGGTGCTGGTGCAGGTTCATCTTCGTATTCATAATCATCTTCTGCTGCCTTAGAACTGGCTATCAAACAGCATGTCAGCAACCTAAAAAATATTAAATAATCATTGAAGGATCAAATTGATGTTATGGATAATTATTGAATCAAAACCAATTTCTGTAGTATAAAATCTTATTAAAACATTTTAAAAAGCTTCTATAACATGTATTTCGACCTGTGACATTCACGTATAGCGAGTCTTACTTTCTCTGGATATGTGATCGTACCATGTGATTATAGTAACATTACCTGTAATACTTGTAGAGAATCCATAACTGTAGAGTAAATGAAAAAATCCAAAACAATCATCACTAATATCTTCCGAAACTTAATTTATACTTGATTCCTCATGATACATTTAATGAATACTAATTATCTCTAATTTCTCTTCAAAAGCACACCTCCTAACTTACATATTTAATAGAAATGTTGAAGTTTAATTGCTGGAGCAGTGAAAGTGAACAATCGAAGATACAACCGGTTATATCTCGATAAATCAAATCATAAATCAATGGAAAATGTTGATAGCAAGTTAATAATGTAAAAATTTTAGTTTCAAATTAATCAATTGGCAATTAATTAAAATAATGAGTTATTTAATTAATCAATTCATCAGCTGAAGAAAGCTAGTTCTTTCCATTCTAGTTAATTAAAAGCTACTATATTAGTTGTCCATATATCACAATGCATCATCACTTCTACCTCTATCAGAATATTTCTGATAAAGCAATAAGTAAATACATCCTTAAGAATTATGCCTCCCCCCTCTATTCAATTATTATGATCCATTTGACAAATATTTCAAGGAAACAATTTCCGTTCTATAGATCGAATCACGTGGATTAATAAACCGGTAATAGACTCCAACCTTTTAAAGATATTATTTATCTCTTCACACTTTTCTTTATGACTTTTTTATCAATGATTAATTGTATTGTATAAATTTTATCATCAATGGTCAGAGAAAAGTAACAATGTGTCATAGTGCAAATTTCAAGGTAAAAAAACGGTAAAAATGATTTTTTTTTATTAGTTACTAATAATTGTTTTTAATGGGGCTATCAACAATTTATTGCCACATAACCACTTAAGGCTGAGAAAGTGCATAAATTTACATATTTCCGTATTTCCTGTTTTCCATAATAAAAAAGTCTATTTATTGAGATCATACAGACAATGTTATAATCTTCTCAATGAAATAAGTCATTATTACCAATGATCTGCATAAATCAATTAATCAATCATCCTTCAATAGCAAAAATTTTACCATTAATAGATTCAACTATTTAGAAGGTGGCCTTGTAACACTCATGCGTTATAATAATCTCACAAATTACATCAATCAGCAATTAGTAATTATATAAATATGTTGGTTAAAAAAAGAAGTACATTGACTTGACATAATAAGAAAAAGTCTATGAAATGATATATGTGTTATGATAAATATAGTTATGATTAAGAAAGTAATCATTTTTTAGCAATACTTTTTATGTAGCCCGGTAAAAAAAATAGCTAAAGAATCATGAAAATAGATTAGTTGGAACTACTTATAAGATTTATGAGTGTAAAAAATGGTTAAGCAGCCAAAAAAATTTTTATAATTAAGCTTTTAAGGACTGGACCTACACATTCTATAATATTATATTCTGGTTGTTACGTGAAGTAAGATTTTGAGTTAAAACCACTTTCCAATTTGCTATGTTATGAGACCATATGTTTTCACTCTCAACCGCTCACTAGCAACACAAGTTCGTTGATCGTCATGCAAATCACAAGGATTAATTAAATACTTTGTATAATCTAAAGTTTCCTACACATAATAGTACTAAAATGAATAATGAAAAAATTATTTAAATTTATATTGAGGATTTTTATAACCATAAAGATGATTTATTAGCACTAAATTTTAATTAATGAACTTTTATTTGAACGATTTTTATTGGATCAACGTGGATAAGTAGTGAAGTTGGTATAATTTAGAAAGCTATGAAAACTAAGATATAGAAGCGGTGAATAAAATGAAAGAATCAAATAACAAGTATATTAATAAAATATTGTAATTTATTATCAATAAAAAAATCTACTTACAAGAATATAATCGGACGCATGGTGCTCCTGAGTTCTCGGTTGAAACGGAAATGCTCTTTCAACGAAGCTCACGAGTCCTGGACGAGAAGGTGGAGGAGAAACGAATAGATAGAAGAGAAAGAACCTATCACACCACCAATGCAATCGCGGAGGCTGAGTACTTTCGAGTGCCGAGTCAAGTTTCCCCTTCTCTTTATATATATTGACTCACGTTCATTGTGTCACACGTAAGAATGTTCACCCAGTTGGTATCAGATACGTGTGTGTAAGCCTTTGATAGAGTCGTCCTGAAGGATATCTCATTTTTTGGCATTAATTTACTTCCTTCTTAGTAGAGTTCCTCTGCTTAATAGACTTTGTTGCCCACAAATCGACCTTTATCACTTACACTAAGTTCTTTTCCAACATTTATTGTCTCTTATTTGATTATAAAATGATAAATTTTTCATCAGTTTGTTTGTTTCTGCATACTCTTGTAGAGTGACAATGAATTTGATGAATTATGGGTTTTAAGAATTTTATTGTATATGTATATATCTTTTGTTCATGTTTTTCTGACTGTGATGATTGCTTCATGCTTTTGGAGGATACTTTTTTTTTAATTAAGCATCTCAGTTACAAAAAAATGACAAGTTATTTTATTTGATGGATTTAAATTTAATGAAAAGCTTTCTATTATTTTCTGTTATATTATTAAAATTATTCTAAAAAATTTTTCCTCTAATTAAAAATATGTAGAATGATATGAATTTACATCAGAATCATATATAATGTTGGACTCTCGACCTGCCTCAACTGTCAGATTGGTGATACGTCAAAGAGGACCAAAATCGCACTGTTTCGTAAGGCAAGGAAGATTTCACCAACTAATAAAAAACACAAATAATATCGAATGGAAGAATAATAATAACAACCATACTAATTTATTATTTAGAGAATATGATGGATGTTTTAAACACCTAAACTCATAGCAAATTAGTAATTAAAAAATCTCTATCACTGCTGTTTTATCTTTTTAATATTCCATTCGATGTTCGAATTTTTTCTTCTCATTTTTTTCTGATCCTCATTTACAAGCATAAATTTTGAAAAGTGATGAATCTTTGCTAAAATGTTATCAACAAACCAGAGGCAAAGGTTTCTCGGACATACGCCTCCCGGGGATCGAAAACGTAAGCAGTGAAAGTCCAAGATACAGACACGCTAAAGGCAAGAATGTTGGGCGCAGTGTTCCTCATCATTAGTTATTTTTATTTCGATTTTAATGACCTTACTGCAAATAAGCTCAATATTATAAAATTACACGCTTTTTTCATTTTAACTAATAAAAAATAATTATTTTTGCTATAAATATTATTATAACTTTTTGATCGAGATAAAAATAATTTTTTTAAAGTAATTATCTGTGTGATAAGACAAAAAGAATGTAGTCCTTTTTAATGATTCTGAATGACCTTCGCCATCGAATTATATGCCAAAGTTGTCTCACCAAAAACCAGAAAAACAGATCCAAGTTTAATAAATTTCACCCTCTTGTCGTCGTTATCGTTTCGTAGAATTCCAGGGCAGAAAGTGCGTGGGCGAGTTGACACTTTTTTAACTTTTACTATAATAAAAAAAACCTAGCTTTTTCTAATTTACACATGAGATATTTAATGTTACCCTTCTCTTAAAGTAAAATAGCAAAAACTGTTGCAGAATACTTAATATTTATCAATTCTGCAGTTATAGTAATATAATTGTCTCAAACAGTTCTGTTATATTCACTGTTTCTTTAGTCATTTTGAATAACTTCCATTATCAATGCAATATAATATTTAAACAACAAATAAAAAGTTACGATTATTACCTCTTTTAATTCACTACCTCATAACTTTTGACGCAGTAACAGAATTATTTGAAAGTAACAATAGAAATATTAACCAAAGGTTTCCTATTACTCAGGAAAATATTTCGATAAATAATTTTTTAACTTTTAGGCTGAGCTTAAGTCATGGAGCTAACTGATTCCTCCTTTTTTAATAAATTGGATCGTCTGTTTCTAATTTCTCCGCGAATTTATGTTTTTACTTAAAAATGTTGGTCCTAATTTATGCTGATTTCAATTTTTGCTCATCAAATTAAGTTTCCGCAATTCTTGCATCATTTTTGTACTTAAAAAAACATACTTCAAACGATAACATTCGATAATTACAAAGAAATTAGAAACATACGATTTCATACGGTCTTCGTTGGAATTCAGTTCCATAATATCTAATAGATGGCAGCATCATGCTATCCATTAACCCTGGTCGTCCATACTCGAAAAATGTTCGATCCGTATCAAGAACTGATGATGCCCTGCACTTTAACTTCTATTACAGTCAATATAAATGTAAATAATAATACTCGTTAATCATTGAGGAGTAAAATTCTTTGAAATAACTGAAGATACACATAGTTATCAATTGTTCTAACAGTGATCAGTTAAAAATATCACCAAGCAAGCTTAATTCCAAGTTTGCGTATCTAAGCGTAGAGTTTAAATCAAAAAATATGACCATTCAAATCATAGTATGCTGGCTCCGTGATCAGAACCCTAAACTTTTATTTGGCAGGGCAGGGTTTGATCCCGGTCCCTACCAATTTTTTTTTTTATCTGTTAAATTTGCACGTAATTATAAGTAAAAGTCAGCGAAAGAGTCAAAAAATCATCCAGCCTTTGCCTTTTGACCTCTATAACTCATAAAAAAATTGTCCGATAGTAATTGTTGAAAAGTATTTGCAAACTTCAGAAGCTGGGCTAAAGATACATATTCATGAAAACCATATAAAAAAATTCTTTCACCATTAAAATCGCCAAAATACTTAGCAAACTCCCTAAAAAATGCGACTTTTGTTCTATTTTTGCGATTTTAAGGGTGGAGGAATTTTTTGAACGGTTTTTATGGAGTTGTATGTTTAGCTTAGATTTTAAGAGTGCCAAAGGTGGTAATACAGCACTCTTAGGGCGGCGTTATGCCGGTGAATGCAGGCTGAGTGCGCTAATATCGAACAATCCGATAACATATGAAGTAGCGTCTTATCTACATCACCGTGGCAAACTCGGCATCTTGTATCCTCGAGTTGCTCGTGCATAACATCGCGCCGACAGGTGAGGGTGGAAAATACACCATCTTGGCAGGCCATAATGAATCCTTCGATCTCAGAGAACAAGCCAGCTAACTTAAGGTATTGGAAAGTCAGCTGGTGTGACAAGTCCTGTGTTTCGAGATGACGGTAAAACACACCATGTAAGGACTTTACCACATGTTCGTCGAGCACTAACCTGTCATCTAGACACTCTAAACCTAGTAGTCCACGCCCTCCCAGATCACGGGGAAAGTCTAGGCGTTGGACAGAAGATCGCGGGTGATGACTTCGATATAATGTCATCACTTTCCTCGTAATAATGTCCAGATCTTTAAGCTCTTTTCGGAGCCATTTAAGAACTCCGAATGAGTATAGCAAGACTGGGACAGCGAGCATATTCGTGGCAGCGACTTTGTTAGGGCCTGATAATTCAGAGCCCCATATTCTCTTAAGTCGCCACTTGTACCCACTGCGAAGAGCATCTTTGATAACAGACACGTCCTGTAAAAGACATTGTACGTGTCCAAGATATCGATATGACTCTCCAGCATCCAGATGTTTTATGATGCTCCCGTCTGTAAGCTCGACATTATCACTCCAGTTCGGCGATCTTCCTTTTACTAAGTGGGCTACTGCGTATTTGTCTAACCCAATCCCCATGCCGATTGCACTAGTATACTCGGACACAACTTCTAGGGCTGCTCGGAGTCTCTCAGGACTTGCCGCGTACACTTTCAAGTCATCCATATAAAATAGATGTGTGACTTTGTGTACGCGGTTGAAGACTCGTCCGGCTTTATACCCAGGCGTTCGATGTAGAGTGACAGATAATGGCAGCAGTGAGATGCAAAACAGAAGATGACTCAGGGTATCTCCCTGGTATACGCCTCTCTTAAATAGCACTGCTTTGGTAAACACTCTCGTTTCACTAGATGTTACGGTAAAACGTGTCCTCCAGAGCGGTATTAGATGTTTGATGCATCTCACTATTTGTGGGGGTACTGAACGGCATTCGAGCACGTAGAGGAGAAGCTCGTGCGATGTTGTATCGAATGCCTTTCTGTATTCCACCCAGGCCATTGACAAGTTGCGCTTGTAGTAGTATGCGTCCATTGTGACGCATCGGTCTACTAGCAAGTTTTCCTTGCAACCTGTCAAGCCACGCTTGCTGCCACGTTGTTCGTTCATCTGTCTCCATACAGGTTCTATTGCAGTCAAATTCCTCTCGTTCAAGATCTTCGTAAACAATTTGTAGAGAGTATTCAGACATGCAATAGGCCTGTAGTTTTTGGGGTTAGACAGATCACCACTTTTGGAGATCAGTACAGTACGCCCTTCAACAAGCCATCCAGGAATGGGTGTATCTCCTCCTAGATATTCTGAGAAGATACGAGCCAGATGCTGGTGGGATGAGGTCAATTTCTTCCACCAAAAGGTGGGGATTGTATCTGGCTCAGGGGCAGCCCAGTTCTTTGTGCCCCTTAGAGCATTCCTGATCTCATCAATGCTGACTCGTTGAAACTCTTCAGGAATTCGTGATAAATGTTCGTCACAGAATTCTCTGAAAAGTTGAAGGGCTGGAGTGTCTACATCTAGCGCACTAGTGCGACCATATATTTCGGTCTAGTAGGTTTCGAATCTTTCTGCACTTGAAGGCCCATAAGTGACAGGGGCTTGCGGCTTAATAAAGTGCGAAGGGTCGGATTGGAACGATCTGTTGTCCCTTTGCCGCTTGTACCGCTTTGCTAATGACTTTTTAATGGCCATTAGCAATCTTATTTTGCCTGTGTACCTTCCCTTTAGGATCAGTAACACGGCCGTATTCAAAGTGTGATGTTCACGTCTAATACTCGCCACGATACGCCGAATTCTTGGCGTATAAGGCCTGCGAGTATTTAACTGATCCATCACACTTTCAATACGAGATGCAACCTGTCGTACCTTTTTGATCTTATTTGCAGTCTGTTCGATGCGTCTTTTCAGGCTTAACTCAGGATTGACAGGTGTTCATCTGCCCTGAGTAAACCCTCGAGCCACATCATAG